AGATTATAAGTTTTAATGGAGGAGCCATATTTCCCTTCAGAGGAAGCACATAGCCACTGTCCCTATCCAAGTAGCAGGAGGGTCTGGGGTCAGGAAGGGAGTTAGGTTGGGGGCTCAGGTGGGTCTGAGCGGAGAGAGGGAGTGGCCAGCTCTAGGGCAGGAACTCCAGGGCAGGGAGGAGCTCAGGTATGGGTGGAGCTGAGGCCCAAAGGTGGTCATAATGCTAACATTTCCCCACTTTGTTGTTTAATAAAAATAGTGCTACCAGGCTGGTGGTATAGGTGGAAGTTGTTTCTTCTATAGCTACTTCCTGCTATAAAGGGGCAAAGTAGGGGTTCCTGCTTTGTTGTTGGGCCGGAACCGTCCAAAAAGCATCTGCTTGACAGTTTGGTTGGTAAAGGTCCTCCTTTTTCCATGACAATAGTTATTTGAATTCCAAGACACAATAAAAGCCAAAATTGTTGTTAAAGTAAAAATTGCTGTTAGTGGCCCAAGAGAGGAATAAGCCAGGGAGGGACTGATTCCCAGAAGGAGCTATCAAAGACCTGAAATTGTCTTTTTTGTCTTGGATTGGAGACATAGCATGTACCTGACTCCCAGTCATCCTGGTGGGGGGAGTAAGACCTTTTCTACTTTAGGATCACACTAACCTGAGGAGGAGGTAGCAGAGATATTTAAAAGTTCCAGAGCCAACAGGTGTCATGGGCTCTTTTGGGTACTTCCTGATGGCCTGGGGGCATCAAGGAGTCCCTGGAGCTGGGGTCTTTAGGGTCCCAGTCTAGGCTGAGCAAGGCAGAGCAGTGCAAGTGATGTCTCTGGTTGCCTGTAGTAACAGGATGGCTTTGACTTGTTCCCAGGTGATGTCCTGGGTGGGGGATTGTTCTCCTGTTAAAAGAAACTTTTGGAAAGGCTAGACAAAAAAGCTGACAAAGTGACAAGGTCAGTTAACATGAATGACATAGGAGAACATACACTGGCCGTGGGCCAGGAAAGTTCCATTTGGAGCATAAGCTCAGTTGTGGCCCATTACAGGGAAGGAAGAATAACTGGACTCCAGGCAGGAAGGGGGTGTCTAGAGTCTTTTGGGCAACTGGGTAGGGGAGGCATAATGGACTAGTTGGGAGTACCAGTCAGAGACTACTATCAATACAAATAGCAGGTGGCAGAGGCAAGACTGTAACTTTCTATCCAGTTAGAAGGTAGACAGGTATGGACATTGGATGGACAGGCAACTCTTTTTCTTATCTCCTGGCTCTGATTAATTTTGAAAGGATGAGTGTAAAGTGAATCTATTTAGGATATTATGTCCCCTTACTCCTCTCCATGATTTTCTGTTGTCAGGACTGACTTTGTCTTGGCTGTGTGTGGGTGGTGGGGTGTTGGGGGGGGGGAGGAGGGTCCTCAGCATCCATTGCTAGGATAGCTTGTCCCAGTTGGTATCTATCAGGTTTGGATTCAAGGCTTGGGCATTGTCCTTGAACACTTTTGCTCGAGGCTAGTGCTCTACCACTTAGTCACACCACTTTTAGCCTTCGGTTGGATACTGAGAGGTAAGAGTTTCCAGCCATGCCTCCAGTCTGGCTCGTTGCTGATTAGCTGGGAGATGGAGTTTTAGAGAGATTGTGCCTGGGATGACATTGAACTGTGGCAAAAGGCGTCTTTGTCACAAAAGCCCTTTTTATTTCCAATTAAAGCAACAAGGAGATCAATAGAGATAGAGGTGACCTACAACTTGTTAACAATTGACTAACAATTACTTATCAGAGTTTTGTAATAACAAAACCCAGTAGATATTTTTTCAACTGAAACTTATTGACAGTCTAAATACCACCCATTGCCTCTGGGCAGCCTGCTTAAAGTGGCTTATCAACAACATTTCACTTTTAACAAATGTACAGACTTTTTCTTGAGCTACAGCAGTGTAGCCTGTTTAGCACATAATCTCAGTTCTACAAACTTTTTCCTTACCAAATGAATTTATGTGACTGGAGTCAGCTCAAGTCACTGCCAATTAGGACTTTGAACAGATACAAGGAGTTTGGGACTAAAATTATCCCTCACATTTTACAACCTTAGCTTTGACTACCCACTCTCACAGATGACTGACACGTTCCTGCCCAGTTAGACATGGGCATTAGGCATGCTTACAGACTATCTTCCCATGACATCCTGGCTCTGATCAATTTTTGAAGGTCCAAGCATAAATGACTCCAGGATCTGACACCATTTTTGCCATCAGATGTGCTAACGTTGCTGGGGTCCCTGGAGTACCTTTCTCCATGCTAAGATAAATGCATCTTTGTCATTCTCCTCAGTCAGTTGCTAGACTTGAACTCAGGGTTTGAGCACTGTCCCTCAGTTCTCCAGCTCAAGGCTAGCACTGTGCCACTTGGAGCTGCAAAGCAACTCCACTTTGGTCCTCAGCTCCACCCATTCCTGAGCTCTACCCTGCCCTGGAGTTCCTGCCCTACAGTTGGCCACTCCCTCTTTCTGCCCAGACCCACTGGAGCACCCACCTAACTTCCTGTCCCCAGATCTTCCTGCTACCTGGACAGGGAGGTGCCATGTGCTCCCTCTGGGGGGAAATATGGCTCCTCTAATATACCTTACAATAACCTTTCTCCTGTGCCTGCTTGCCTCTGGGTGGTCCCCTGGGATGGCTGTGAGGGGTCCTTTCATTGGATTGGTTCCCTGTGGGTTTGCTCCCCCCTCCACTTTGAATGGGGGTCTGACCAGCTTCCCCAGGACCTAGCCTGAGGTCCTACACTCCTGTCGCCAGAGAACCACCAAGGTAACTTTCTCCTGACCTAGCACTCTACCTGCTGCCCATCAACACTGGCTAATTAAGTCCTGTCCCAGGTTTCTGATTTCTGTATTTCCATCGTAAGGCCACCTGAGCCACTGACCGCCCCCCCCCTACCCCCACACCCCCGACTGACAGAAATCTTGGCCAAGTACTCAGAACTCACCACTAAGGCATACCGTGGCCAAGGGCCCCGTGGAGAAAATGTGTCCACGTTTCCCATTGGCCCCCACCCCACCCTGTTACCAGCCAAATTGCACTGCTGAGGATGCTCTGAGAAAGCTTTTGGTTCCAGATCACTTACTCCTATTGCTTCCTCTAATGTTTTCAGGGTGTCTGCTTTGACGTTGAGGGCTTGGATCCATTTGGAGTTGATTCTGGTGTAGGGTGATACATAAGGCTCTAGGTTTAGTTTTCTGCAGGGTGATTAACCAATTTTGCCAGCACCATTTACTGGAGAGGCTGTCTTTCTTACATTCTATTTTTTGGCTCCCTTATCAAAGATTAGGTGGCTATGGGTCTGCATGCTCATTTCTGGGTCTTCGTTGCTATTCCATTGGTCCTCGTGTCTGTTCTTGTGCCAGATTACTATGGCTTTGTAGTAGAGTTAGAAATTTGGTACTGGTATTCTTCCAGCGCTGTTCTTGCTGCTAAGGATTGTTTATGCTATTCAGGATCTTTTACTGTTTCATATGATTTCTTGGACTAGTTCTATTTCCATGAAAAATTGGGTTGGGTAATTGATAGGTATCACATCGAATATGTACCTAGCCTTTGGAAGTATTGCCATTTTCACTACGTTAATCCTCCCAATCCAGTAGGATGGGAGGTTGTTCCACGTCCTGATTTCTGCTTTGATTTCCTTTTTCAGATTTGTAAAGTTTCCATTGTAGAGGTCATTCACTTCTTAGTTACCTCCTAGGAATTGGGGCCATTACCAAAGGAGTAGCTTTCCTGATTTCATCCAAACTCTTCTCCTTGTTGGCATACAGAAAAGCCATTGCTTTTCTACCCTGCTACTTTGCCAAAGTTTTGAATCAGCTCAAGTATTTTGGAAGTGGAGTCGATCAGCTTCTTTGTCTTTCTGAAGAGTTTCTCTTGTATCCTCTGAGTGTGTCTCTTGGTGAAATAGCTCCTCCATGTTGACCAACTTTCTGAGCCCCTTGGTGGAAACACTTAGAAGGGGGCTGAGGCAGCAGCTTTGTGGCATAGTATTTTCCTTTGGTTTGTGCCAGGAGTTGGGCTTGAACTTAGGGTCTTGTGCTTTCTCTTGGATTTAGTGGCTCATGACTAGCACTAGTCATTTGAGCCATAACCCCACCTCTGGTCTTTCTGCAGAATAAATGCGGATATGAGTGTCTCAAACTTTTCTGCTTGGCCTGCCTTTGAACCTCCACCCTCAGACTCCAGCATCCCAAGTAGTGGGATTTATAGGTGTGAGTGACCAGCACCCTGTCTGTAATGTGTTCTCCTATCAGTCATGAGGCACTGTTTATTTCTGGAACTCTCTTGAGTTCTCTCTTCTGTAAAGATGGTTAACAGAAAGGATGTAGGTGAGTAACATGCCTGAGCTGTGAGCATACGTAGGTCTCTGTTCCTGTTACTGGAGTTTACCAGCTATTGCACACTTCCAGGCCGAGTTAGGACAGCTGTTTTCTCTACCTAGAAGTTTCATTATCCTTCTTAAAAAAACAAAAGAGAGAAACATTGCTGAGTGCTGGTATCTTACACTTGTAATTTTAGCAAGTCAGGAGGCTAAGATCTGAGGATATTAGTTCTTGAAGTAAACACCAGTAAAGGCAGAAGTGGAGCCATGGCCTTTATGGTAGAGAAGTAGCCTTGAGAGAAAAGCCAAAAAACCCTCAAGGAGGCCAGAAGATCCCTGCTGAGAGCTGCTGGGGTTTTCTGCTTCAACAGTGCTTGAGGGGAACCAGGTGCTGGACCACAATTCTGGCCATCTGCTCCAAGCCACCAACCTTGTGCCACCTCTTCACCGTGTCCTCAACCTGCCCGGAGGCCTCTGTTGTCAGCCCAGTGCTAACCCATTGCTACTCCATCTCTCTTAACTGCTGCCCTGAGGAATGCAGTCTCCTGCCAGGTGTGCCTGAACTGCTACCAGGACTCAGAGGCCACCATCAACCACCAGATCCATCTGGAGCTCTACCCCTCCTATGTCTACCTGCCCATGTCTTGGGACTTTCGCCGAGATGGTGTGGCTCTGAAGAACTTTGCCAAGTGTGGCTCTGAAGAACTTTGCCAAGTACTTTTTTGCTAGTCTCATGAGAGAGAGAACATGCAGAGAAACGGATGAAGCTGCAGAACCAGAGAGGTGGCCGCATCTTCCTGTAGGAGATCTAGAAACCAGAGTGTGATGTCGGGGAAAGCGGGCTGAAATTGACGGAGTGTGCACCTCACTGGGAGAGAGTGTGAATCAGTCACTGCTGGAACTGCACGAACTGGCCACTGACAAAAATGATCCCCACTTGTGGGTCTTCATTGAGACTCATTACCTGAGTGAGCAGGTGACGTCCATCAAAGAACCATGTTGGTGACCATGTCAACAACTTGCACAGGAGGAAGCCCCGATCTGGCATGGCAGAATGTCTCTTTGACAAGCTCCCTCTGGGAGAAAGTGATGAGAGAGAAGCCTTGAGCTGACCCCCAAGCCACACATGACTTCCGGTCACAAAGGCAGTGCATGCATGTTGGCGATTATTATTACCTTTTCTATACATTTTACAAAACCTCCTAAGTTCTTTCAACTTGTACCATTTCGTCAAATAAAGGGATTTGGTACAAAGCAAATAAAAAGCTCAAGGAGAGCGTGCAGGCCCTGAATGTCAGCTCTAGGACTTGTGCAAAAGAAAACCCAAAGAGAGCACATCACCCCTAAACTAGGAGAAGAGTTCAAGGCTTCATTTCTGATCTGAAAGCATCTCAGGTCTTTGAGATACACTGTTAATTGGTTGCTACTCATGGAGTCACCTTGTCCTTTTCTTAGTGTTTAGAACTCAGGACCTTGCAGTTAGCTGTGCTTAATAGGTTCAAACATGTACTGCTGGAGTTCCTCCCTCAATCCCTCCTGTGTGTGGGCAGTATTGGAGAAAGGACTTGTGTGTGTGCTGTTTCTCTTTGAGCATCAATCCTCCAAGGCCTCTGGCCTCTGAATAGCTCGGAGTACAGACAAGATGCACAAATTAGTGTCACTGTCACATTCTTGAACTCCCACCAAACATCAGTACCCAATGCAGAAATGAAGAGTACTCAGAACCTATATGATCAAATTTTGAGAAAATCAATTTAATAAGTTTGGTGAGAAGCAAAAAAATATAGAAAGCATATTAAGTATCATTTCCAATACGAAAAACTTAAGTCTGTGGAGCTTGTTGGAGGTCGCAGCAGAGGAAGGAACCGTTGTCTCCAGGCATGTTCAGGCACAATGGCACGTGTTCCAGGTGAGCACCACAGCCTTTCAGCCTTTCCATTGGAGCTGAAGGAAGAAAGGGAACTCAGGACTGAATTGTACAGGACAACACCTGACAAGTCACAATCTCTTTCTGAAAGTCTATCCCTTTAGCTCCCTCTCCCTCTCCCCTTTTCTGTTTGTTTCTCCACACTTCCCTTTCACCCAGGAAACCATAGATCAGAGGGGATGAGCTAAACCAAAAAAAAAAGGACTTCCTTGAAGTATAGATAAACACAGAGCACAGCTCAGTGGCCACCTACTTTTTTCCAGGCTGTCAGGAGGAATCAGTGTGTGTAGGAAGGACTCTAGGCCTGCTGCAGCAGCAACAACATAAATTTCGAAAGCAGCTGGTGATGTTCTTCTTCCAGCGCCTCCAGCCCCTGAGTCGCTCATTTGTTGTGGATGTTGTGGGTTGAGCGGATGGTAGGGAAGTTTTGGCAGGTGCAGGACTTGGGGGCAGCTTGCTGCTCTCCTCCTCCCCAGCTTGGTCCTTCCCGCTGGGATCACATGTTTTTGGACATGGGGCAACAGATCTTATCTTCCTCCTCCTCTTTCTGTACTGTACCCATGAGTTATATACTACAGGGGGAAGAGAGTGGGGTCTGCTGCCCGCCTGCCTCTCCTGCTCAGGGGCCGAGCTGGTCATTTCATTGTGTTTGGCCATGGGGAGTGCTACTTCGGCTGCTGCTGCTGCTGCAGCTGCTGGTACCAGGGCAGCCTTGCTGCTCACAGTCTTGCCCTCTGTGTTGGAAATATGGGGTCTCCAAGGGAGGCAGGGTAGGCACACGGATCTCCTGCCTTTCCTGCCACCACTCCCCTGCTGCTGCTCAGCAGGCAGGCCTACAGCCCGGTGGCCCAAGGGAGCACTGGCTTGCTTCAAGTGTAGAGCCTGGCCGGTCCTGCATACGGGGGAGGGGCAAGGCGGAGGCGCAGGCAGTGCATGCCTCACCAGGCCCGTCAGGTCTTGGCCCTGGTCTTGCTGCTGCTTTAAGATTTTATAGGTTGCCATGGAGGCAGACAGGGCTGCCCCAACCTGGTCTGGGTCAAAACCCAGGAAATAGGCCATGACGTTTAGAATGGCCGGATCTGGCTCGGCCAGGGCACTCTGGCTGGGGCGTGGTGAGCGTGCCTGTGTTGCCTTTAACCAAGGGTGGCACAACACTTGCCTCACAGCAGGTCTCTTTTGAGGGTCAGGTGTCATCAGATACCTTAAGATATGTTGCAGTTCGGTGGAAAAGCTTTTGAATATTAGACACCTGCCCGCTAACACTTGCTGTTTTAGGACGCGCCAGGACCTGTCATCAAAAGGGATGTCGCCCATGACCATGAAGTAGAGTAGTATCCCCAAACTCCAGACGTCCACCTTGGGACCCTGGTATTTCTGCTGCTTAATCATTTCGGGGGGGCAATAAGCCATTGTCCCGCACCACCCGTCCAGCTCCTGCTGGGGCTGGAACCGCATACTGAGACCAAAGTCGCATAGCTTAGCTGTGCCCTGGCTGTCCAGCAGGATGTTTTCTGCTTTAATGTCGCGGTGAACGATGCCGTGGTCGTGGCAATAATTGACCGCCCTCACGATCTGCCTAAACAGAAGCCTGGCCTCCTCCTCCCTCAGTCTGACCACCTTGTACACATAGTCTGCTAGGTCTCCTTCCTCGAGGTACTCCATCACCAAGTTCACCCGCTGCTCTGCCTCCACCACCTGGTACAGTTTGATGATGTTAGGGTGCTCCACAGACTTTAAGATGTCCAGTTCTGTGTCAACAGATGGGCAGTTCTCCTTGCTGATCGTTTTCACGGCGACCAGGCTGTCTGTAGGCAGGTGCTTGGCCAGATAGACTGAGGCAAAGCCCCCCTCGCCGATGGTTCTCAGCACCCGGTAGTGAGCCCTGAGGAGCTCCTCGTGTGAGGAACTGGCCTCAAGGCCCTGCCGGGACCTCTCCTCTCTACTCTCACTACTCATCCTACACAGCACCCTAGCGATGCTGTCTAGGGAGAAAATAGAATCAAACAATGAAATAAAATGTATAAATGTATAATAAAGGAATACAATGTAAGTAAAATATGAATAAGTATAATAAACGAGTAATAAAATGTAACTACCTAACAAACTATCTATCTAACAATATAATGTAAATATAGAAAGAATAATAAATGAACAATATGCTAAAATGCTATCTAAAATGCTATCTAGTAAAAAAGTATAAGAAAAAAGTAGAGCAAGAAAAGAAAAAGGAAAAGTGAAAGAGAAGAGTAAAAGAAGAAAAGTGAGAAAAAGAAAAGAAAAGTAGAGGAAAAAGTCAAGAAAAAGGAAGAAAGAAGTAAGATAGGAAAAAGTAAAAGAGGCAAAAGAGAAACCAAGTCCGAGAGAGTCAAAGCCAAATCGCAATCCAAATCCAAACACCGAAAGTCAAAGCCAAATCAATAAACCAAATCCCGAAAATCAATCACTCACCAGCCACCAACCACCTGAACTCCACCCCTCCAACTACCTACAAGAGTCCACCAGTCAGCACGCGATATATATATAGCCAGGGTTATTGTGACCTCACGAAGGTGTCTGTGATGTCAGAGCTGCCAAGCGTCTCTGCCCATGTGGGTGTCGCCCCCTGTGCCCATCTCAGTTCCTGGCCTTCAGGACGCTTCTTAGATGAGCATGCCTGGACTGGCCTTGCAGTCAGGGCCTGGGCACTGTCCTTTAGCATTTTGACTTGGATTGATTTCATTATTGTTTTCATTTTAGTGCCAGCCCTGGGCCTTGAACTCTGGGCCTGGGCACTGTCCTTGAACTTCTTTTTGCTCAAGGTTAGCACTCTACCACTTGAGCCACAGACCTACTTCCCGCTTTTTCTCTTTCTGTGTTACTGAGGAATTGAACCCAGGCAAGCACTCTAGCACTAAGCACATTCCCAGCCCCTGTCCCTGAGCTTTGATACTCAAAGCTGGTGCTCTATCAGCTGAGCCACAGTCCCACTTCTATCTTCTTGGTGCTTCATGGGAGATAATAGTCTCAGGGAATTTTCCAGCCCATGTTGCCTTTGTATTAGCATCCTCATATGGCAGCCTCCTGCTTAGCTAGGATTACAGGCCTTACAGTAGCCATATGCTTACAACACACTTATGTTAAACAGAACTTAGGTTCTGTTCAGTAAGAGTCTACTCTAAGTTTTCTTAGGTGGTTATGTAGATTGATATTTAATATTTCAACCGATGGCAGTCTAGCGAGAGTGCCGATATCAAGACTCCTAGAGTGCTCATATCCGTAATCCTAGTTACGTGTGGGGTTGGAAGTGGGAAGATTGCAGTTGGAAGCCAGCGTAGGCCAAATAGTCCATGAGAGCCCATGACAAGGGAGCAGGTTGGCATCAGGGTGCATGCCTCTCATCCCAGCCAAGGTGGCAAGTGACAAATAAGATGAAGGTTCTGGCTGCTGCCTGCTACAGAAGCAAATCCCTTTCAAAAACTACCAGCACAACACTGTTCAGTAAGAAATGTACTCATTATCTAACTTAGGTAACTGCACCCTCTCTGTGTATCTCCTTTACAGGAAAATTTAAAAGAAAAAGAACAAATGATGACCACCAGCACAGATATGGCATGACTCACTGTTTATAAGGTCAGCTTAAGCTCAAACACTTCATCAAAACTCACACCTCTCTTATTCCTCAATATTCTTGTTGCTTCTGCTTTAATATTGACATTATCTTGAAGTCGAATGATCACATGAGGGCTACTCTAAACACAGTATTTTTTCATTCTGTTTGGATGG